ACAGCAACGGCCTTGGCGGCTTCAGGGCTCAGAGAGCAATCAGCGCCAGAGCAGCCAGGCCCCGCAGCCGCGGGCGAGCCATGGCCCCGGCACGGAGCGCACGCCGAGAGCTCCTCGCAAACAGCCACGCCCTGGCCACGGAGGCTCGGCACCGGGCACCGTGGGAGGCAGCCTCCTCCTAAGGACTAATTTCCTATCAAATTCATACCTGCCAAGAAGTTAACACTGTCCCCGAGAGAACCGAGACGCAGCAAAGTCGGAACGAAAGCCGTGATGGCGCCGGAGCCGTCCCCACGGGGCTAGCACTTTCTTCACGCTTTCCCGCGCCTGTCGGAGGGGCGCGGGGACACTGAATGTGTCGTGCAGGTCACTGTGACCCCGCCCTTCTCCCCTCGAATGAAGTCCCCTTTCCCGTGGGTGCTGAGAACTCCTCACGGGCATGTTTCTTTCTGGTAAATCCTCACCCCAGGATGTTTCCCATTGATTTATTTTTTTTTTTAGACAGAGTGGAAGAGAGGGGGAGGGAGAGAGAGAGAGAGAGGAAGAGAGACTGATTAGTTGCCTCCCACACACACCCTGACCGGGTCCAGGAATCGAACCCGCAGCCTTTCAGTATGCAGGCCAACACTCTAATCACTGAGCACACTGGCCAGGGCTTGCATGCACAATTTAAAAATATATATATACATATATATATTTTTTATTGATTTCAGAGAGGAAGGGAGAGGGAGAGAAACATCAATGATGAGAGAGAATCATGGATCGGCTGCCTCCTGCACGCCCCACACTGGGGATGAGCCCGAAACCCAGGCAAGTTCCCTGACCGGAATCAAACCGTGACCTCCTGGTTCATAGGTCGATGCTCAACCCCTGAGCCACACCTGCCGGGCACATGCACAATGTTTAACGGTTTCGTTTGGGTCCACAAGCAAGTGCACGATGCCCGTTAACCCTCCCCTGCTGCTGGCCCCGTCCCCTGGTGTGGGGGACACTGAGCTCCCCGTGTTTCGGATCCTTTCCCAAGAAGGGCTCTGGGATGCACCGCTCCTGGGTCAGCGTCACGGTGCGTGTCACACGCGGTCACGCTGCCGTCTGCCGTGTATATGGCAGTTTACGCTTCCACACAGCAACGCGTGAGCGCTGTCACCAGCGGCGGGGCCGGCATCAAAAGCATCTGCTAATTCGAAAATTAACCCGGCGCCTTAGCGTCTGTTTTCGTTCTCACGCGTTGTCCGTTTCCGCACCCAGCACGGGAAAGCCTCACGCGCGCGTCGGAGCTGTGGAGCCGAGCCGGACCACCTGTGGCGTGACCGCGGCCTTGGCCTGCCCGGCCCAGCTTCCTCTCCACACAGTGGGGACGAGGACGGGTGCTGGCAGTGCTGGCACGCCCGCCTGGGGCCGGTCGGGGAGGACACGGGTCGTGTCTGTCCCACGAGGGAATCGCCTGTGTGGTGGTTTCTGTAGAGCTGGATCAGGGAGCAGCTTGTGAAATAACAATCACCTCCTCACTTCGAGAGGAATGCAAGGAACACAGCTTCCTTCCCACTGGGCAGCTCACGGAAGGAAGACCGAAGGCTAAGGCAGCACCTGCTTCCACCCTCAGTCGGAGGGCCACCTACGGGGCTCCGGAGCCAACCGGACCGGGCCAGCCCGCCGCCAGCCCGCCTGCCCAGCCAAGTGCCTGGCCGTGCCCCAAGGGGTTCTACAAACACCGCTACCCATGCTCCGGCTCATGGCGCCCACCTGCAGGTGCGGGCTGGCCTGCGGTGGCTCTGAGGTCGATGGACCATTGGTTCGCTGAGTTCCCAGGAGATGTCAAGATGACCTCTCGACCTCCCCGTCCCCCTAATTACTCCATGCAAAGCTGTCACCCCGAGCCACACGCCCTCCCCTGACTCACCAGTGACCTTGCCCCCGGCTGGGGGGGTCAGGAGATTTAACAAGAGAATCTCAAAGGAAGAGAGGGCCGGGGCCAAGCTCTGCCCCTCACACCGGAGCTGGCTCTGCTGCAACCAGAGGGGAGGCCCCCGCAGGCCTCGCTGGTGCAGCCCCCACCCCCGCCCCGCCCCCCATCTCACCTGCGGGAGACACTGGCACTGCCGTTCCCCCTGGGCTGTCACTGTCCAGGGCCAGCTCTCTCTCCCGCATGTCCCCCCAGGCGCGGGGCTCCCACTGCCCCTAAAGCTCTCGGGACACTCGCGTGTCATCAGCCCTCCAGGGACTCAGGCACACGGAGCTGGAACACTGAACAGTCATGATCTGTGGGGCTACCTCGTTCCCGGGACCCTCCATGGGCACCCACGTCCTGTCCACCTTCCGGAAGACAATCACCCTCCTCAGAATTCCCCAGGGGAAGGTGGCAAAAGCTTCGCTCACAGCTTTTGCTCCTTGGCAGCGGGTGAGGGTCGGTCGACAAAGAAACGATGCCAAGGACGAAAGAACACACGCCTCCCAGACGCCCAGGCAGGAGACGCAGCCAGAGGGTCAGCACCGAGGAGCGCTCGCACGGGGGCCGCAAGGCAAGGCCCGGCCACACAGGACGGGCCCGGCCTCCTGACCAAGCCGAGAGGGAAGAGGCCTCCTGTGGGTGCTGAGGGCTGAGAAGAGGCAACAGGCACTGCCAAGGGGCCCCTCGTCCCCACGTCCAATCCAGCAGCGTTTTAAGGAGAAAGGACACATTGGACACACTTTGAGTTCCTTTCCAAGAGCAGACAGAAAGGTGGCTCGCTGGGGTGACGTGGTGGGATGAGGACAATGGCCTGCACCTGGGACCCCGCACCTGGACCCTGCACCTGGGACTTCACACCTGTGAACCCGCACCTGGGACCACACCTGGGACCCCGCACCTTGGACCGCACCTGGGACCCCGCACCTGGGACCCGCACCTGGGACCACACCTGGGACCCCGCACCTGGGACCACACCTGGGACCCCACACCTGGGACCCCGCACCTGGGACCCCGCAGCTGGGACCACACCTGGGACCCCCACACCTGGGACCCCGCACCTGGAACCCCGCACTCGGGCAAAAGCTCAGAAGCCCCTCAACTCCAGGGGTGGCTTCTTTTGAAAGCTGAGACACGTGAGTCCATTGAAAACAACGCCTACAAGGTCGAAGCTTTTCACTAAAACCATAAGATGCCGTCTGCTGGGAAAGGCAGCTCTGAGGCCGGGAGCGACTCTAACATTCCAGCGGGGGAAGCTGGCAGCTGGGAAAACAGCCCACGGAGCGTCTCGGCTTCTCCATTCCAGCCCCTGAAGGAAATTCTGAGCCGACCAGGTGGCCTTGGACATGAAGGGCAGGGAGCTGGGCTCCAGCGGGGCAGGGCCCTGGCTGTGGCGGGCCCACCCTCATGCCCTGTGACATCATAACGCCAGCAGAGCCCCCATGCACCCGAGGGCCGGGCACTCCTGAACCCTGGACTTCAGAGGGTCCCACCGTATAAAACCTCTTCCAGTGGCAGGTCGCTGAGCAGAGCAGAGTGACAAGCTGCCAGAGGGGAGTTTGGCGAAGTGTAAACTCTTCTTTTTTATCCTCGCCTGCGGGTCTGTTTCCATGGCCTTCAGAGAGGGAGGAAGGGAGCGGGAGGGGGAACGTCGTCGGTTGCCTCACGTACCCGCCCGACCTGGGATGGAACCTGCGACCGTCGGTGCATGGGACCATGCTCCAACCAACCGAGCCACACCGCCGGGGCTACAGGAACTCCTATGCCCCCGTTTCCACGGGGCTTCCACCTGACGGGGCGGCGCGCCTTCTCTGCCCAGCCCAGGCGCACCACGGCCCGGCCGCCAACCCCAGGCAGCTCTGCTCCCCCGGGCAAGGGGTGGCCCGGGCTCGCTGCGGCCGTCCTGCGTTTCTCCGTGGACTGGTTTATTAAGGAAACAATCCGAGGAGCCCGCACCAGGGGCCGTGCGTACATCGGCGGCCCTCACTAGCTATTCAAATCAGCAAACTGTACGAGGCCGACAGACCCCGGAGCAAGGGGACTTCTCCACCTGGGAAGCGCGGGCGGGACCCAGAGCAAGGACTTCAGTGACCGTCGCCGTGGCCTGGGCCGCCTCCTCCTCAGAACGGACAAGTGTCCCGCCGGCCCGATGGCAGGACCCCCCCGTGGCCGGCTGGACACCACACCCCTCCCCTCCACCTGCACGTGGGTTTCCAACACGGATGAGACAGGGCTCAGGGTTAGCGTGAGAAAAGCTTCTCCAAGACACGAGAACTCGGACGAGGGCCACGGGCGCTGCCCCAACCGCCTGAAGTACTTTTCCCAAGGACAACACACGCCCGTTTTCTTCCCGGCTCCACAGAGTAACAGCCGCTTGCACAACAAGATGGAAAGTAACACCTCGACCCGCACAAGGGCCCGGAGCTCGGGTGTGCGGGTGACCAGGGCGCCCGGTGGAGGCTGCAGGAACGGGCACCTGGGTTTTTAAGAGCACGCCCCCTCCTACTGCCAGGCAAGGCGGATCGCAACGTGTCCGAGCTGGCTTCCTTTCGGTGCCATCGGCCTCAGACGCCCCTCGTGCCCACGTTCCTCGGTCTCTGAAGGCCCCCTCCATTGACAGGCCAGTTCCTGCAACTTACACATCAGCCACAGGCCTCACGCCAGCCAGAGCCACGACCCTGCCCGTCCCACCTGCCCTCGTGGTGTCCAATCCGACGGTCCCAGCGAACTGGCCTGGAGCTCCACACGTGGCGCCGACATGAGGGCGGGCACGCTTCTCTCCCGCCACGTCAAGACCAGTGGCCAAGTTCCACACGCACTTCCACCCGCCAGAGCATCACAGCCACGGCCTCAAAGACAACCCAGACACACACACACACACATGTCTACAGGACACGGAATCCACGGCGGGTAGCGACAACTGAGCACGCGTCCACGCCAGTCTCCGCGAGCACCGCCCACGGGCCCAATGGCCACGCAGTCCAGACCACGGACCCCAAGCATCAGAGAGTCGGCGCTCTCCCCGGCAGAAAGATACGAACACCCGCGCCCCTACCTCGATCAGGAAGTCCCCCGTCCTCAGTCCGGCCTGCCAGGCCACCCCGCCTTCGTCCACGGACTCCAGGTACTGCAGGGCCGGGAACGCCGGCGTCGGCGTGAACTCCTCAATGGGCGTATCCGCTGGGAAGGCAAGGACAGAGAGCTCATTACAACCGGCGGACGTGTCCAAGGTGGCAGCCTCACCCCCACAGGGCCCTGCGAGGGAGACCGTGTCCCCTGTTGGAAGTAGTTGGTCCAGGCCACCAACCCCCTGGGAAGGGCTTGACCTTCACCGTCCCAGGCCAGCAGCAACTGGAGCCGTGAGGCGCGTGCCCTCTGGGGCCCCCGCCACACCCCGGGCCTCTCTGCTAAGAGCACGGGCTGGCGAGCTCCACTGTGCGCGTCTGTATGTGCGCGCCTGTCATTTTCTTTAAAAGCATCGGTGACTAAACACTTTCGGTTCTAAAAATGGAAAAGCTCCCCCATAACCACACGGAGCTACAGAAGCAGCACAGCGAGCCACCTGCCGGGGCTGCGTCTGCGGAGACCGCGGCAGCCGGGACTCGCCCTGGAGCTCCATCGGAACCGGTGCTGACCCGGGGGCGGGGGGTGCGAAACCCGCTCCAGCCTGTCTCTCCCCTCCCACCCCCTGGCCCCGGCACCTGGCTTCGGGGCCCCACGCAGCTGCCCAGGGAAGTCCCAGGGCAAGCGATGGCCTCTCCTGGGTTGTCCTGAGCGGCCAGAGGTGCGGGTGGGACGATGGAGATGGCCCTTGTGGGGGAGGGGAGGGGCGACCACACAGACCGTGGTGGACACACACGTGGGGCCGGTTGTCCTTTCTCTCTCTCAGGACAGACGCCGGCAGGGCAGCCTGAGCCCCGGCAGGTGGGGCCGCGGGAAGGAGGGGCGGGGAGGAACCTCCACATGCTCGCCCGCGGCCAGCTGTCTCCTCCGTGGGGAGGCGATGCCATTTTGTTTTCTCACAGAAGGGAAGCCCCCACGTCAAGGGCTGGCGGTGGGGGCTCCACGTGGAACGCACCCCCGGAATCCCCCGCCCCAGGCCCCGGGCCACGGCCAAGGGACCATGCTGCCCCGTTTCCTTAGCAAAGTCACCTGAGGGGCAGGCGCCGCGCACCTGGGGCCGGAGCTCACTCCCCGCGGGCAGCCTCTGGTCCCGGACCTGAGCACCGGTCCTTGTGGGTCCCTGAGGCCGAGACCAAGCCCAGCCACCCCACACGGACCAAACCCGGGGTTTTAAAAAGGGTGGGGGAGGGAGCGGGAGAGCTGGTGCAGGGACGCGGTGCAGGAGCAAAACCGCTGCTCAGCAGCCCGCGCATCCCAGGGAGGCGGCAGGTGAAGCCGCGGTTGTCTAGCAACCAAGTGCCCAGCAAGAGGCTGCATCGGAGCTGGGGCATGTCTTTCACGCGGGCGTGTGCACACACAGACACACACATACACACACGCGCGCACACATGTGCATGCGGCCCGGCCGGGAGCCCCGCGCCTACCTTTCGCCCCGCGCAGGACGAAGCCGAAGCCCTCATTGTCCTTCTTCTGCAGGACCACCGCCTTCTCCTCGATGGTGCAGTCGCTGTGGAGAGAATTCCGGGGACAGCGACCGTTACCGGGGCCCGTCCTCACCGTGGCTGCTGCTCCGCCGGGCACGCTCATCATCGCAGCCCGTGAGCCCCCGGCGGGGCGGCGCGGAGGGAGCTAGGCGGCGCGGGGCGCGGGGGGCGCGCGGCGGGGGCGCAGGCGGCCGGGACCGGCGGGCGGGGAGGGGGGGCCGGGCGCAGGCGGCGCGGGAGCCCGCATGGTGGGGAGGCGCCGGGCCGGCGGGCGGGCGAGCGGCGGCTCCGGCCGGGAAGCGGGGAGGAAAGTGGCCGCAGGAAGGAGCGCGCGGCCGCGCCGGGCGCCCGGGCCGAGGCGGCGTCCCCCCCGCGGGCAACGGGAGCAGCGGAGCCGAAATGAGGCAGCAGTTTCTCCGGTTCTTGAAGGGGCTGGAGGAAAAGCAAACGCTATCTGCTCCCTGCGTGCGCCGGAGACGCAGCGCCCCTCCCTCTCCGTCCGCGGCAGCGTGGTGCCCCCACAGCCGCCGCGTCACCGTCACCATCGCGGCGGGCGGGGGGCGGGGGGCGGCGCGGCGGGCGGGCGGGAGGCGGTCACTCCGGTCGCACGCGGGCGCTGACGACAGGGCTCCGGTGGGAGGATGAGTTTGGGGGCGGGGAGAGGGGGCTCCCCCTTTGACGATCTAAAGCCAGGGCGCCTGCCTCCTGCCACCGCGTTTGTTTCAAAGGAGAGAAACCCAGAGGCGCAACTTTCATTCCGCTGCCAAAGGCTCCGCACCGGCAGGAAGGGGCGGGCTGGCGGCAGGACCGTGGCTACCCCGGTCTCCCCCACCTTGGGGGCTGCTGCCCGCCCCCCCTCCCCCCGCCCCTAAGTCAGGGGCAGGGCCGCTGTAGAGGGGCCCGAGGTTTCTCCAGGGCCCTAGGGGGACAGGCGTGGGAGGACTGGGTGCGAGGAGAAAGGACATCCGGGAGCCCCCCCCAGAAAGGCTGCAGGGCGTGGGGGGCACGGAAGAAACCAGAAGGCCCGCCTGGAAGGGGGTGGCTGGGGGTGCAACGAGCAACACACTGAGGAGCTCCAGCCCAGGCCACTCACTGCAGGTCAGCTTTGCCCGCCCTCCATCTGCCGCCTGGGGAGGCACATGGCCTCCGTGCACAGGCGGGGGGTGGGGGGGGCCTGGGGGGGAGCAGCCCAAACCCGCTGGCAGCCCCTCCTCCCCCCCAGGAGAAGGGCAGGTCCCCCAGGAGAAGGGCAGGTCCCCCCAGGAGAAGGGCCGGCCCTTGGACCAGCCATGGCAGCAGCGAGAACTCCCCATGGCACAGGCGAGGGGGCAGCTGCGGAGAGGTGGGGGCACAGCTGGGGAAGCACAAGTGTCCTGACCTCCGAGCACCGCCCCCACATCCGAGGACTGCGCAGGGGGCCCTGCCCTCGGGGGCCAGCAGAGGGGACACACCCCTGACCCTGGCAGGCCATGCGATCCAGGGGGACCGTCCAGGGTGGACTGAACACCCCGGAGCTGGGTCGTGTCTGGGAGCCCCTGGCTCGGCCCCCACAGCTGCCAGACGGGGTCTGACACTCGGAGCCCAAAGCCATGGGCACCTGTGGGCAGGTCACCAGCTGCCCGGCGGGTGGCGTTTAGGAAGTGACGGGCTCTCTCAGCCTCAGTTTCCCCTCACGCTACAGAGCAGTGAGCACAAACCACAGGCCTCCCGGGGTTCTATGTGGTCAGATGGGTCGATACCCATGATGGTGCAGTGGGACGGAGCCCCAGGGAGCCCCCCAACCCCCCAGGGAGCCACCACCAACCCCCCCCAGGGAGCCACCCCAACCCTCCCAGGAAGTCACCCCCAAACCCCCCAGGGAGCCACCCCCAATCCCCCCAAGGGAGCCACCCCCACCCCCCCAGGGAGCCACCCCCCAACCCCCCAGGGAGCCACCCCAAACTACCCCCCCGGGAGCCCCCAAACCCCCCAGGGAGCCACCCCCAACCCCCCCAGGGAGCCCCCCAAGCCCCCCAGGGAGCCACCCCCAACCCCCCCAGGGAGCCACCCCGAACCACCCCAGGGAGCCACTCCCACCCGCCCCCCCAGAGCCACCCCCAACCCCCCCTGGAGCCCCCCCAAACCACCCCCCCAGGAGCCACCCCAAAACCAGCACCAGGAGCTGCCCCCCCGCAGAGAGCCCCAGGGAGCCCCAGGGAGCTACCCCAGAACCACAGGAGCCGCGGGGACTGAGGGCAGGAGCCTCCACCAGGCCTCTCCCTCTCTCCACAGCCTCCCACCAGGGCGCACACACAAACTGCCCCCCAAACTTCTCAAGAGAAGGCCCCGCGCCCTGGCCCACTCCGTGCTGGGCGGGTGCAGACCCCCCGCCCGCCCGCCCCTTCTCCAGGGAGGGCTCTCCCAGGGCCCCGGCCACGCAGCCATGGCCTCCGCTCCTACACTCTGCGTGAGCAGCCGCAGCGAGCCGCCCAACCCCGGCCTAGGCCGCCGGCTCGGAGGGCCTGCTGGGCTCCCCGCCTGCCGACCGCAGGGGCCGGGGTTCTGCCCGTGGGCGCGGGACGGCGTCGGCGCAAACCCCAGTCCTGCTCTGACCCCAGGGCCGTGCGGCAACCACCCTGAGCAGAGCCGGAGTTTGCAGGTGCCAACCCCTCGGGGCCAGTGACAAGCCTGTCCCTGCGCCCGTCCTGGTCCGCTCAGGGTCCCCGCTGTCGGAGCACGTGCTGAGTCCCCCCTGGGGTGACCACGTCCTGTCACTCTTTCCTGGTGACCGTGGTGGGCGCTCAGGAGTCAGGCCACCGGCCCCTAGGGGTGCGGCCTAGTGAAATAAACCGCCACCCCAAGTGGCCACGCCTCACGGCTTTGCTGCCAGGGGCCATGGACCACGGGCCACGGTCACGGCCCTGCCTTCCTGCGGGGTCCCCTCGGCTCACGTTCACTCCTGAAGTGCCCCGAACACGTCCGTATAACTCACCCCCCTCCGCGCCCCTGGGTCTGTGCAGCACCCCCGACTCACGTGCCAGGCTCCCTCGGCCTGCCCCCCCTGCATTGGCTAACCCGCGGGCCCTGCACCCCAAACCTTCCGGATGAGGGGCACACATTCTCCCATGAGGGGCCCTCTGAGCACTGCCCACGCCTCCGAGAGAACCCTTCTGCCCACTGACCCACGCACAGCGGGCCCCTCGGGGCAAACCTCAGGCCCGTTCCTCCAGGACCCTCCCAAACGACACACCTCCCGTCTTGGGGGGATGCCACCCGTGTCCACTGAATAAAGGAATGTAACCCGGCTACGCTCTCTTCAACTGTGTGCTCTGAACGGGACGGGCACTGTAAGGCGCCCACAGGCACCCTCCTTTGCCAGCTCCCCCGGCAGGAGCTGTGGGAGGTGATGGGGTGGGCACCCCCTCCCCCACCCGCACCCGTGGGGGCGGCACACGGTGCAGCTTAGAGGACGCGGCTTCCCCCACGGCCCCCGTGGCCGGAGGTTGTGATGGCGACTCTGGCGCAGGTGGCTGCTGAGTGCTGCCGTGAGGGGCTCCCACAGGCGGTGTCGCGGGTGCGGGCCCCAGGCTGCTGTGGGAGACACAGTCCATGTCGAAACTCTCCTGGGGCCCATGTCTCACCTCCCAGCAGCCCCACTGTGTGCCGTGTGCCACCGTGGTTCCCGGAACACACCGGAGCCAGACGCTCCCGGGGTCTGCCCCGCGGGACCCCTGGAGGCTGGGCATCAGTGGCTTTGAACTGTGGCCCAAGGTTCACGGCCCCGCAGGGCCCCGGACGGGGCCGGGGTGGCAGGTGCCAGCGATGACAGGTGCTGTCAGGATCTGTCAGTCACGGGACAAGCTGTCTGGGCAGCAGGACTGGCCTGGCGGAGCCACGGGAAGCCAGGCCCGGGAGCGCCCAGGACCGGTGGCTCCGTCTGTCCTGCCCCACACGGAAGGACCTGGGACGGCACTGGACGTGGGACTGCGGGGTGGACCGCACAGCGTGGCCTGGCCAGCTGCCCCTGCTGTCTGCACGGGGTCGGGGTTTGGTCGGGGCCTAGAGTTCAGAAGCTGTTGGGGCCAGTGGCTAAGCTGCCCGGTGAATCAGTGAATGAACACAGTTAGTCCTCATTGCACACCTACTAAGCGTCAGGGCGTGGGCAGGGTACCGGCATTTTGGAGGAGCTAACCAGGCCCTGTCAGGCCACTAGGGAGCTGTCAGGAGTCGTGGGTCAAATGGTGGCTCCAAAGAAGACATGTCCCAGTCCTAGCCCCGCCCCGGGCACGTGACCGCATTTGGAACTCAGGTCTTTGCAGGTGCGATCAGTTACGGATCAAATGGGATCCACCTGGGTTTCGTGAGAGCCCTGCACCCGAGGACCTCCCTGTCAGAGGACACGGTGATTCGAGAGGCACAGCGGAGGCATGGAGCCGACGTGGGCGTCATGCGGCCACACCCAGGGTCCCCAAGGACGGCTGGCCACCCCAGCAGCACCAGGTCTCGGACGCCCAACCTCCGAGCCGGGAGAGAATCAGGTTCTGAGGCTCAACAACCCCCCGTCGGCGGCATCTTGTTAGTTTCCCTCCTAATCCAATAGGCACACAGGTGCAGGCTCTGGTGCTGTGAGCCAGAAGGGCAGGAGGACTTCCTGTAGGAGGAGGCCCCGCGTGCAAACAGGAATGAACGGTTGGTGGGAGGAGGGGCCGGCACACCCAGGGCAAGGTCTGGGCAGCAAGGGGCTGGCACGAGGCTTCCGCCAGGGCCGGGACAGCCCTGCTCTCCCAGAACCACTCAAGGAGGCCAAGACGATAGAAAAGCTACCGTCCGCTTTGTTCTTCCCGTGGCCTGACTCTGGCCTGGGACCCCGCCCGCAGCCGGGCTTCCACTGAAACACTTCACACACGCCCGCCCGTCTGCTGTGGCTGATGGTGACAGCTCCCCCGCCCTCCCCCCCCCCCCCCCCCCCCCCCCCGCACGAAGCCAAGACCCTGCAGGTGGGCAGGACGGCTTGGCCCCACGGCAGGGGTCAGGGGCAGGCGAG